GCTCGCGCCCTCCCTCGGCCCGCTCTACGGTGCCGCCGTCGCCGGGGAGGGCGAGGTCCGCTCACCCACCTTGAATGGGGCCTTGCACCCTCACTGAATGCCGTGCCAGCTCCTGCTTGCGACGGCTGCCCACCATCGCCCGACCACGCCGTCGGTGACGTCTGACCTGGCGCCTCCTTCCGCAGGGCGCCGCGCTGCCGCACCTGCGCGCCTCCAACCTGCTGCACAACCTGATGCACGCCTTCTTCTCGCCGCTCGCGCACGGCTGGCACGCCACCATTGCGGACGGCGACCTCTTCGTGCTGCCCGCCCACCACCCGCACGCAGTGCTCCTCTCCGGAGAGCTCTCGCTCGGCTTCAAGTGGACGCTGCGCTGCGCAGACGACGATGGGCCGTGCGAGCCGGCGGGCACCGCTGCGGACGAGGGGATGCAGCGGTGGAGAAATCCGAACGACGTTTCCGCGCTGGCGGCTGCTGCGGCTGCGCCGGGAGGGGCGGGCGAGACCGTCAGTGCCGCCGTCAGGCGAGCTTCCGAGATCCAGCCGCGGCCTGAGCGGGAGGAGAGGTGAGTGTCCGGTGGCGAGAATTCATGGGGTGAACCAACCCACACAACCGCAATCACGTGAGCGAGGAAGAGCCAGATTGCCCACGCGTCGCGAAGCGGCAGCGGCTAGTTCCATTTCACTCTGACACGCTAATCTTGAAAACGTCCAACGGAGCTCCGTGTTGCTCCCAGCGCCCTCCCCCGGCGCGCTGCGGCCCTAGCCGATGATACTAGCATGGGAGGTCATCTGACTACCGCGAGAGCGACCCAACTCGTCGACATCGTCCGATGATGGTGCCGCAAAGTCAGCCTTCGGAGGCTATCGTGGGGTCGAGCCGGCAGTAGCCGTGACATGTGGTTCCACCACCCCTCGTAGGCTTTGCCTCTGACCGCCACCGTTCCCAGGCTGCCTAATGGGATGGAAAGGAAGGCTGGGCGAGCGTATAGAAGCGTGCTCGACCTCGTCGTGGCAACCTGTACGGCAGCGCTGGCAGGCGCGATGAGCGTCGTGCCACCTGACCCGAGACGGGTCGCAGGCGTCGTACCGAGCGCGTCGAGACCGTGTCCTGATGTGATCTGCACGGGTGAGTCACGTCGGCGTCAAAGGAGCGACGTGCGACCTGTCAGAGCTTGATCTCCGATCTCAGCGACGTCGAGTCGTCTCCGGCGCGCAACAAATGTACCTCCCCAGGACGCGCAGAGGCAGCTGCGACCCCGCCGAGTGG